GGAAGCTTGCGGCCAGTCTCCGCAGCTTAGTGAGGCCACCTACAAGTACAAGTTTAGAAGGGCTGGAGATGCTGCTCCATGTGCAGTGCTGCTAGCACCCCTGGGTTCCGTCCCTAGGTGCCCTCCTCTGACAAAGCCCTCCGCGGGGGTGTGCGTGTGCGTGCATGTGTGCGTGTGTGTGTGTCAGAGCCACTGAGAAATAACCAATACTTGGGGAGGTAAGCAGGAAGGGAGAAAGAATGCTTGTTGGAAAGAGACACAGAATTCCACAGCCAAGAGCAAGACCAGCTGAGTAACATTCCCAGAAGAACGGGTACGTGCAGTCTGGCCGTGACAAGCCCACCCACCTAAGGGGAAGAAAAACAAAGCAGTCCGGTAGCTTACTTTCAAGGACGGAGTGGAAGCAGATCACTGGCTAACTCATCCCAGAACCTAACAACCATGACTCAGAGCTCGAAGAAGGTACTTCAAAGGGGAAAATGGCCAAGGAAGAAAAAGGCGACTAAACCCACAAACAGGTAAAGCTGTGAAGGGGTACAGAGTTGCCTGAAATTCTTGGAAAGCTGTCTCCACTTAGGTATGGAGGCTGGATGAGACACGAGTGCAGGAGAGATGGGGACGGGGGAGGAGAGACGAGAAACTGCACAGCACACAGCAGGAGAGTTGGCTTGGTAAGGTGAGGGGCTTCTGGAGGCAGGGGCGAGAGGGTACTTTCTTTCACAGAACGCCACACCTGAAGACAGCACTGTGGGTAGCTAAAGGGGTGCTCAGGGTCCAGTGGTGGGGACACTCTTGCAGAAACAAGGCAGCGCAGGACTGATCCAGACATTCAGGATCGGACAAACAGGGCGCTTCAGGCCTAGGAGGATGTGTGTCTACCCCGCCATGTTCTCTGGTAGCAGAGGCAAGAAACACAAGGAGTTTTCTCACCTTGGTCAGGGCCAGGGAGGGTCCAGGGCCTGGTCGGAGCAAGAGCAGGCACCTGGCCAGAGGCTCAGTAGCCACTGAGCTAAGCAGAGAGGGTACGGGGTATCCCTGAGGATTTGACCAAGACAGAGAACTTGCCAGAAAGCATGTGTGAAATCGCTTAGTTACTGCTAGTGAGAATGCAAATTGTTGAAACTTTTCTGTAATATACTCTGCAAATACACAACCATAGATACTGACTTGATAATCCTAAAAATTAAAGCAAACCTAATAGAAAGATTTAAGTACAGAGATGTTCAAAGTATATTTTATGCATTGTTTTGAGAAAGGCTTGCTTCATGATCAAAGTATACTTTAAAATAAAATGGATTCTCATAAAAAGGGTGAACGCACGATTGTATGTCCATATGATACACTAACCATGGCGCTGTTAAGAATCATTCTGTTTAAGAACATTAAATCTCATGAAAAAGAGCAATTTAAGAACAATGAATCGCATGCAAAAGCACATACACAGAGCACACAAGTGTGCACACTTATGACCGCAAACGTGGAAGGCACGCACCTCAGTGGCCCTTGTCCCTTGACACATGAAGCCAAGTTACAGCTAAAGGGCAGCGGACATAGGCTTCAGGCTTTACTGTGCCATACAGACATCTCTACTTTCACAATTGTAGAAGTAGTTCTAGCAAAGATAATGGTGTTCAACAAATGCTACTGGAAAATTTGATGTCCACATAGCAAGCAAGGATCTCACAACATACACAGCTACATCACAGATTTAAATAGAAAATTCAAACTACATAACTTCTAGAAGAAAAAAACTGAAAATCTCTGAGTCATTCAAAAATTGTTGGGACTGGCGAGATAGCTCAGCAGTCTAAGTACCTGCCTGGTAGGTGCAAGGACCCTGGTTCATTCCCCAGTACCACATGCCACACCGGCCCCAGAACCCTGGGCACACTGAGCTGGCCTCCGAGTCTGTGCATGGTGGCGCAAGCCTGTAATCCCACTTCTGGGGAGGCTGAGACAGGAGGATCACTATGAGTCTGAGCTGTGTAGCAAGACCCTGTACCAAATAAATGAATAATAAATACTCCAAAATTGTTTTCAGTACCCAAAGCACAACCCGTAAGATAACAAATTGATACATTAGATCTCATTAAAACTTAAAAGTGTACTTCAAAAGATACTGTTAAGACAATGAAAAATAACACACCACCAGAAGACTAGAACAAAACCCTTACAAAGTAGATATCTAATAAAGAATTTTATATACATAAAGACTCCAGAATAAAGAATTTCCAAAACTCAACAATAAGAAAACAAACACTTGAAAAATGAATAATCAGAACATTCATTTACCAATGACAATACATGGAAGGCAGAAAGCCTGTGAAAAGTGCTCAACCTCGCTGGTCACTAGGTGGAGCAAACGAACACCGCAATGAGACACAAGCTTGATGACCTCTGCCCACCAGGGTGACTAAAATTAAAATCACAAATATCTGAGGCTGTGATGTGCTGATGCCGATGTGGAGGGAGCAGAAGTCCTATCTGCACAGGCAGGAAGGGCAGAGTGGGGTGACTTGGAGAAGCTAAGTGCATGCCTGGATATGGCACAGCCATCTCGGAGCAGCGTGTGCGCTGAGCAGCTATGCCAATACGTGCCTCCATGAAGACCTGTACCTCAGCAGCCACA